TTCCCAGGAGTTGGGCAGAATTCAGCAGGTTCTTATCCAATCCACAGAGAAAATGAGGTTTTTGGTAATTTAAGTTGTTTTATACCAGTTCTGGGAGTCATTTTTTTTGCTCAGAGGTTGAAATCTATTTAAAGTCACCTCATTATTTCCTTCAGTTTCTGGCAAATGCAGGTGAAGCCAAAACATCCGGCTGGGAACAGGCAGGGAAGCACCAACATCCCAAATTAAAATGCTCCAGAGGTTCCTACAAATTAAACAGGTCATTTTTTTTTGTGTGTCGAAAAGTGTCACTTTTACCCCAAAACCCAAGAATTCCTGGTTAATTCAGACAGAAGAGCTATTAAAATAATCAGACGTTCACCCAGTTTTGGGTTTAGAAATGTGTTTCTTGTTCCAGCAAACAAGTTGGAGATGCTGAGAAACCTGAATCCATCTTCTGGTCCCAAAATAGGAACGATTCCACCCAAAGCAGGGTCAGTTCATCGTGTGATGATGAGCAAAGTGTTACTCCTGCTGCAAGAAATCACACTTCTGCCATTATAATCCAAATAAATTAAATACAATTCGAATTATCCAGCTGGTCAGCGACTAAATTCATTTATTTTCCCTTTCCAGAGAGGTCTGACGGCGCAGGGGAGGGGGTGGGGACACTTTTTTTTTTGCCTGGTGGGATTTGCTCCAGAAGTCAATCTGGTTTGGATCAGTAATTATGACTAATGACACCTTTGTGGGCTGGGAACTGTTATCAGTGGGGAGGATGAGTGGTGGCTACCCCAAGAGTCGTGGTGAAAGAGGGGTGAGGTCTGGCTGGGGTCAGTCCTGTTTGATATCGATGATCTGGAAGCAGAATCTGCACCAGTTTGGGGCTGATATTAAACTGGGAGGGTGGTGTTGAAGGCGGGGGAAGAGGTTCTGCAGAGGGATGAGAAGTTAAAGACAAGGTAAAACAGGAGCTCTTTTGGAACATTCTTGGGGTCCAACAGAAGCACCTTGATCAGTTAAAATGTCTTTTGGAACATCTTTGGTGGCCAATGGAAGCACCTTC